TGTGTGTGTGTGTGTGTGTGTGTGTGTGTGTGTGTTGTGTGCGGACAGTGGAAAAGAGGAGGAGGGAGCAGCTCAACATTACCTCAGGCTCTGAGACATAAAAAAAAAAAAAACTTTAAATCTGCTGAGTTTTTGATATAAAAATCTGAGATTTTTGTCTGTTTTCATGATGCAAATGAGGACATTTTAAGTAATTTACAGACAATCAGAACAAGGTGACAACATTAGTGTGTTGAAAGTGAACTTATCTTAGGATTTTCACAGTTTTATCTTGACATTTCTCTTATAATATTCTTGAACATGAAATCCGAGGCAGTGATTGGTCCATGTCGGGGGGTTTTCTAACGACGTCATCCAGGATCAGCTTTGCGGCACAGCCAGGTGTCGCAAATCAGCTCTAAGACTGACACTTAAGAATTACTTCTACACTTTGCTTAAAGACTGAGACCTTTGATAACTTAGTTTTACTCTCAGCTTTTAACTAAAAAAAATTTTTACACTTAAGTCCACTCTTAGCAGCGTTCTTAAGAGTAATTCTAAGAAGTTTGATAAATATGGGCCCAGATCAGCAGAGAACTGCTTCTGTTCTCATTTGTGAACTAGCAAAAGTATTTGATTTGGTAACTAAAATTATGGTATCCAACAGGATCAGTTTGATTCAAAACATAGTTTAGTCAGAGGTTACATAAACATGTACTAAACCTGGAAAATACACTGACTTACTCGGCTGGAATTTGCCAATTTACAGTTGAAATTTGTCTGTTTTTGTGATCCACAAAAAAACATGTAAACAAATGAGAACCGAACCAGTTCTCTGTTGATACACCTGAATTACAAACTCATCAGAAATTCAGGAAATGTCATAGCACTGCTGTAAACAAATCAGATTTTTAAACTTTTTTTCTACAACCCATTTACTCACTCCTGTAAACGATTACACCCATCATGTTATTTTTAAACAACGGCTACTTTTTACCTAAACTTGAATAAATTATATTATGATTCAGTATTTTCCTGTGTATCATATATCATGCTAAACTCCAGCAAGAAATACTTCCATTTTCTCAGTTGTTTTGAGGTAAAGGGGACTGTGACTCTTAATGTTTTAAATATTGGTGAACAGTTTATGCAGGTCTTTAAATAGCTTTTTGATAGTGGTAAATATTATCAGGCAGACAGAAGAAAATGGCATCTTGGAAGCTTCTTTTTTATGTGAATTCTCATTTTTTGTGTGCACATGATGAAATTATTTATTCCTGGGTTCATGTGAGCTTTTGATGACAATATTTTATATATATATGTTTGTGCTACAAAAATGTCTTTATATGGCCTAATCATGGGATATGCTTGTTTTCTTTTTTTATTTATTTTATTGAAAGTTTACTCTTTTATACCGTTGAATCAAACTGCTGTAAAGTCACCATTTTTCCACTCCTCGTCTCTGAAACATCCACTTTGTACTAATAATGTCATTTTTATTAGTGTTGAAATAGAGATAACTTCTCATTTTGACAGTATGTGATTGAGAAAATGTAAGCATGTCTAGGCTATAGCTTTTTTTGTTTCCCCCAGCTTTATAAATTTTGCTTTTATAAGTTCAACTTGGGCCCCAGTTGTGGTCTACAGCCCTGTGTACCAACATTCCAGTCTAACATATAAAATCTGCAGTGGTGACTAAGTTGTATTTGCCTCAACTAACCCAGACGTTAAACATGTAGCTGTGGGAAGCTTAACTGGTCACATGTGGCGAGTTGTATTCTTTCTTTCCATCACCACCTTGACTTTTCCAGCCTGCAGCCCTGTAAGGCTGGAATGAGATTGCATGAGTTAATTCCTTGTTCTAAACTATTTACAGCAGGGATTACCAAAGGTCTCCTTGTTGAGAGAAAGGGGTTAAGGTGTTTTTATTCCTCTAGGCTTGGCAATGTGACCAGATAGGCTTAAAACAGATATGCTGTACATCGTTTTAGTAGCCCTGCTTTGTTTTTGTTTTTGTTTTGTTTTTGTTTTTTTTAGATGTATATATTTTAGAAAAGGGCCTTATAAAAATCATTTACTCCAGCTTTTATTTTTTTTAACTGTTTATTCTGTATTCTGATCATGTTTTCCAAAGTTGTTGTTGTTGTGCTGATTACTGTGCAATAAATACATAAAYCTCCTTCTGGAATCACAATACTTCTGTGACTTTCATATCATATCCCATCACAGTGTTGTATAGCTAATGGTTTTTGTCTGTTTTAGCAATATTTTAAGCCAATGATGGTATACCAGGAAACCCAAGTATTATCCTTTATCTGTTTAAAATTTGTTTATTTTGTTGCATTGAAACATATATATTTTAT